TAATTAATAAAAATTATTATTTAAATATCTTCCTGGCCTCTTATAAGAAGAAAAAAAATTTATTATTTTATAAAAACTATCTTTAGATTTCCGACTATAATAAATTAAAAATTGAATTAATTTAATTAATATATAATAAATTATTTTTAAAACATCCTAGAAGATTTTATATATATAAATTTTTAGTTTAAAAATATTACTAGTCCAACCTCTATTACTATATAGAATAATAGATAAAAAATTATTATATTTATTATTATATTACTTTATTTTAAAAAATTAAATAAAATATTTTAAAATTTCTACTAATTCCTGAATATGTTTGGTAGGATATATCTATAAATTTTATTATATATTTATTTAAAAACTAAGGATATAATATAGTATTAATAATTATTAATAAATTTATTAAAATAAAATATTTAATATTTTATAATTCCACTGCTAACATTGCTGGAATAATTATAATATATATATAATATATATAATATATATATAGAAATTATATAATCTTTCTAATTTTATAATCTTTAATTAAGATCTCTAGTTCGTGGCTGAATTCTAGAAATATCTAATCTAATATTTAGATATTATTAATTAATTATTAATTATTTATTATCCTGAGACTGATAGCTAAATAGAATAGATAAATACTATATTAAAATAGTATCTCTATATCTATATAAATTATTTATAAAATAATTAAAGTATTTAGCTTCCCCTAATTAAATTCATTTTAAATATTATATATTTTAATACTATTAAAATTATATTATTCTTTACTAACTATAAATTCCATCTATAAATAAGATTTAAACTTATATTTATCTCTAATTAACTTACTATTAAAGATATAGAGTAATTTACTATAAAAATACATATTATTATAAAATTTATAAAAATTAAAATAGTTATAGTTTAAACTAAATATATATAATAAGCTAATAAGAAATACTACCCTAGTTAAAGATTCTAAAAAAATTAAAAAATCTAGTTAAATATCTGATTTATTAAAATTTTATAATCTAATAAAAAATTTAACTAGAATACCCTAGATCTATATCTAATTAAAAAAATTATTAGTTTTTATATATATCACCTGAAACTTCTACTAAATATAAAAATTTATTTAATATTTAATATAAGTTTATTTATTCTTATTAATAATAATTTATTATTAAATTAATATTAGTCCTTTTCCCCTCATATCAAAGTCAACAGACTTGAGGAATAAGAAATTAAAAATATATTAGATTTTTTTTAAGATTACTAGGAACAAGGCCGCCTCTAATTATTATATTTTATTAAATAAATAAAATATATTAATTTTATTACTAAACTTATGGAATATCTAGAGAATATTTATTAAATTATTAAAAACTTTTATTATTATTATTTATATAAACCCTAACTTTTGCCTTATAGGAGCTTAGCTTAAAAAGAAAGAAAATATTATTATAATATAACTTTTTAAGCTAAAAAAAAAATATTATTAAATCTTACTATCTAATATATAATCTTAAATATGGCTAAAAGCTACTTATTTCCTGAATCCCGTTCATAGCCTTAAGCTATATTTTATTTATTAATCTATATATAGCTTGACTAGTAGCTAGCTTAGTATCTAGTTAAAATCCTAATTATTACTATTACCTGAATCCTACTCGCCTGCTAGAACCCGCTATCCTACCACCCCCACCTGCCCGCACCTTGACATATCTTAACTAATAATTATCTAGATTCTATAAAAACTAGATTAGATTATAATAATTTTTCTCTAGAAATATATTATTTAAAAATATAATATTAAGTTTTTAATTAATATTATTCTCAAGAATAATTATTAAAAAATTAAAGTATAAATAAGTTTTATAAATAAATTTTTTAAATTTAATAAAATATATGTTGGAAAATCAGGAGACACTAAACTAAAAAAGGAAAATACTATTCCTAATTAGGTCTAGTATCTTCTGAGTACAATTGACTTAAGTAGTCACAGGGAAGGATTCAATGTAAGTTTCCTAAATAGAAAAGAAAAAATAATTTCCTAAATAAGAAGAAAGAAGTGATCGTACTTGATCAAAGAAATAATTCTAAAGTAAATCACTTAAATGCTTATAAATTGCTTGAATCACTTAAATACTTATGAATTACTTGAATCGCTTAAATCACTTAAAAAAGAATAAAGTAAATGAATAAAGATTAAGACTATATTTATATTTATTCACCTATCAGACTAAATAATCAAGAATCAGGCCTAGATCAGGGTGCTTTAAAATCAAGAAAGACATAAAGTCATTAAGACGTAAGGTAAAGTGGGATAAAACAAGTTTTTTTAATAAGTATGATTATAGTAAAGAAATAATAAATTCATATAAATAAAGAAACACGAGTATTCACTTGGTTAGCTGGGAAACCAGCCTTTTAAAGTCAAATTATTGGAGATGGCCGATTCCTGCAGAGATGACCTGTTGGCGATTTGATTGGCCAGTTGACGAATTGGGAAATTCCAGCTGACTTAAATTTATAATTTTTTATTATAAATAATATAATTTCTGCTAAATATTATAGATATAATTAAAGTTTAAAAAATATATTTAAATATATTTAAAATATTTATAATATGTTTAAGATACAGTTATTATTTTCTATAAAAAAGTAAATCTAAATATAAAAAATCTTATTTAATTAATTAATTATATCTATTTTATAAGCAGAGACAATAATATAATAATTATAATTAATATTTATTTTTATTTTATTTTAGAATATAAAATAGCCTAAATTTAAATAATTATTTTGAAACTTATTAAAATTAGATAATTATTTAGAAAAAAAATAAAATTAAAAAATTTAAAATTAATTAATATAATTATTTCTATTAAAAAAGTTACAAGTTTTTTAATAATAGATTTTATAGTAAAAATAGAAATATTAATTATTAATATTATAATTTATATAGTTTTAACATGCTTAGTTAGGGCTTAATTCTTTTTTTTAATAATAATTTTTTTATAATTAAATTACTAATTAATTAATAATTAATCTTTATAATTTATCAGATCTAGTATATAATTATTATATTTTAAATATTAAAATCTTATTATGAATAATTTTATTTATTAGTAACTTCTATAATAAATTTAAAAATTTATTTATAATAATTATATTATTTTTTAAAATATTTAAAAATATATCAAACTAATTTATCTAATCTATTAAAATTAATTAAAGATTATAGAATAGTAATTATTTTATAAGTTTATTATTCTAAGAATAGAGCTATATAATATTAAGATATAATTAAATAAAAATAATAAAATAATAAGTTCTAATAAATAAATAAAGTTTAAATAATAATAAAAATTAAAAATTTAATTAAATATTGAGCTAGTTACAAGTTAAGTTATATATAGATTAATAAATAAGACATAGCTTGAGGCTATGGACGGGGTTCAAGGAACAGGTAGCTTTTAACTATGTCTAGGGTCATGTGCTGGCGGTAAGACTTGGCAGTATTTCTCTCTTTCCAGCTTGGGAGGTTGCACCGTGACAGCCTGCCCATACCTTGATAATTACTCCATACTTGCATCTGGATTGCATGTGGCGCCTAACAATAGTAGCTAGGACATGTTTAACATTACCAGTTCCACTTACCATCACGCGTCAATCCTAGCTATTGGGTCTGAAAGGTAGGGAAAACCTTTTTAAATTCGTATGGGAGGGACTCAGCATGCGGTATAATAACTGTGATCAGCCTAATAGGATTAGACAATTAGACATACGGTTTACCTTTACAGCAGCGAACTGTCATAATGCAAGGATAACAACGAACCATGGAATGTCGGCAGGTCTACAACAATCACTAAACAGGACCACTATGCCGACAGGGCAAGCGACCCAGATGGGATGATGAAATAATATGAAATGGAGGACAGGAAAAGAGAAAGAGGGGGGAAGAGAGAAATAGTGATAGCTGGTATTAACTGAGGCACTAAGTTAGGCTAAATCTATCTTGTTTACGATGCGCGAACGTGCTAATTACTCACAATGGTGGGTAAAGAACACGCCTGTGCAGAATACGATATGCTCGATATTTAGAAAATGTTAGTATTTAAAAATAATAAATGCAAGGGCATCGGAGCCACTGCATCACACATAATACGTCTTGTACTGGCTGTTGCATGACTGCGGAAAGAGTGCCCAGTCTGACTTGTCAGGCAACAACAGAAGTTGCGGGGCTCAAGCTCAATTTTGATTCATTTGCTTCCTTTGCTAGGATGTAGTATCAGGCTGTGATGCAGCGACAGATGATCTGACTCCTAGCCACCTTTTCAGCCTAACATGCCGGGGAAAGGCTGCGATACACAGCAGCTATTGGTGGGTACACCACCAAACGGGTTTATCGCTCCTCAATGGACACCACACACAAACCACCAACAGCCTTTGCCCTCCACCCCCCTTTTCTATTATTACGCCGTATCAAGCACTCGACCCCGCTTTCCCGTGGCAGTTGTCGTCATGTGGTAGATCACTTACCCAACCCACCCATCATATGGCCTTTCTACCACATCGTATCATTTGCTGTCAGTGCGGCAGGTGGTCATTCTGATTCATATTTGACTTGCAATTGCCCAAGCGCTAGGTCACCAGCTTCAACATTTGGTCTTCCATCATCTACCCAGTAATAGGCGTTTGGGATTAGACGCTGGCAGGGGCAATTCGGTGTCTCTGTTACTGCCACGCGCTGACCCCGCATGAACAGGGTTGACGTACTCTCATACCACTAGTTTCCAAACCCCAGCTATCGGCACATTGACTCATACACCAATTTCTCGACTCTCTGATTTACTTGATGGTTAGGTAAACGGCTCTTTGCCTCGCAACAGGGATTGATTACCCCCTTTCTCTTTCCTAAACTGCACAAAGAAACCCTGATACGAAGTACAGAGTATTCGGAAACATAGATTACTCATAATCAATCATTAACTCCAGCCTTTCGGCCATTGTGAGCCTTATCGCCGAGACCCAAGTCATATCCACTTATTGCCACCAAACAAAGAGGGCCGCCCTGACAAATCATTTGCACGTGTGTTTTGCCAGCATTATTGCCAAATCTCAGTTCCATTGACTTCCATTAACACCATCTCATCAGCGTACAAACACTCTTTCGCCTTCAAACTGAAGACTGCCTAGGACTGACCTCAGAAGCAGTAACCTTTGTGTTGTATTTATCCCCAGCTAGTCGTCCTACGAAGCATCACGCTCACTTCTCACCGTGACTCAATTCAAATCATCGAATTGTTTCATGCGATGACCTCATTCACTGCTGCCTCTCTGCTCAGTCGAAGTGATAAGGTCAACATGAGTCGCCTGCCATCTGTTTCCACTCTAATGTCCCCCCCAGAGTCCAAACCTCTTGAAAGTTTCAATCCCACTACATTTTCACCGTATACAATGTCGCAGGATCCGTCCTATAGTCATGAAGTGAGGCTTCCTCCTATCTCGAGTGATCGAAAGCGAACACAGTCAGAAATGGACTTGCCATCGCCACCTGTTACTCCATATACAGGAAATAAAAAGCGGCGATCAAACACATCAGATCAGATTGAGAAGGATGTCGTGGTCGGCTCCTCTAGGGACCCTGTTCTCTTTCCCCGCCACGAATCTCTTACTGATATTGCCACTGATGAGCCGTTGTTTGGATCCATGCTTCCTCCATCTGCGGAAGCGTTGGTTGACCAACACATAAACTCTCATATGGCGAGATTTGAAAATAAACTTAACAAGCCGACTCGCGACGAATATCTTCTAGCTCTCTCATGTGTACCGATTGTATCTGCTCAATTTAACCGCAACCCAGCAGCATGGGCCAGAGAAGAGCGGGAGACTTTAGAGCGCCAGTTGATTCTGATGAATCGTTGTCGCCCGCGTGCTTTAGAAGCGAAGCTGAAGAAGATCGCACCAGCCCCAACAAAGAGGACAGCTGCTGCCCAGCCTCGTGTGCAGCGGACACCCAGGGTAAAGCGGACACCAAGGTCCACGCCAAAGCAGAAGATTCTCAACGCGTTTGACTCACCCCCGTCGAGTGCCAAGCCATCTCGCGCCATAGGCACAAACCGGGATGACACAGATTATAATTCCATCAAAGATTATTCTCCTTCAATAGAGACGCTTCAAGGAAATGCAAAGGCGTTGAAGGCAGATTGGAAAGGCCAAGTGCTAGATCTCAGCCATGATCCGGATCGGCACTTGCTGAGCTCTGCAGAGCTCAACCTCGCTGCCACCCTAAGGCTTTCCTGTGCAACTTATCTATGCAGCAAGCGCCGCATTTTCGAATCACGCGTGAAGTCTTTGAATGTTGGTAAGGAGTTTCGCAAGACCGATGCTCAACAGGCTTGCAAGATTGATGTGAATAAAGCAAGCAAGCTCTGGACAGCATATGAGCGTGTTGGTTGGTTCGATCCCGAACATTTTCGACAATATCAAATATAACGAGCAGAAAACCTCATACCTCGTTTTGAAGACCCCGATGTCTGCAATTTCTTTATGATACCACTCTCCATGATACCTTAGAGAGGCGAACTTCATACCCCTGGATATTTATCAGCCCGTTTGCATTTTCGACTTACAGTTTCCTCTCCCTCTGATAGCTGCTGAGTATTGGCATGTTATTTAAGTTTGTCACTGGGCATAGCTGAATTCTCTTCGATGAAGTGGCAAGGTTGCACATGATATCGTTTTGTACCCCCCGCCGCCCCCCTTTCTATATTCTCTGCAACAGGCCCTTCAACATTGATGGCAGTGATTTGAGTCAGTCTTCCCTGCTATCATTACCTGAACTTGTCCCATTGCTTCTTCCTTGTCTGGCGCTGCATTCCCCGAGTGACCGGGGCAATTCCCTGTAATACGTTAGGTCTTGTGTCTGACAGTTTGTCACGTCTGACTATCGTTCCGACAGCTTGCTATGGCAGACGTCAAATTTGCTAGAGTGGTAGATTGTTGCTCAATCAATTCACTTAGAAGTCCAATGTAAGTGAGACACCATCCTGGTAGTATTTACGTCGTAATTCATTCCGACTGGCACAAGGGCCTTGGCGCCCGCTCTAGCAGAATTGGATGTTGGCTGCTTACAATGTAACAATATACTGCAGCGGAGGTCGGGATGCCAGAACCCGCCAACTACGCAATCCCGTCACCTGCTAAGCCTGCGCCACCATCACCTCAACCACCTCTCTTCACCCCGAATGTTAAATCTTCAAAGGAAGACACCCATCCTGATATTGCCGCACTTATTGTAAACTTTGACCATAACATTTGATGGATGATTTGAACAGCAATGTCTCATCCGGAAGTGACCCGTGCGGAGTCCTTGGACGAGCAAGAACATAGGGGGGAGATTGATGATAAGAAGCCTAAAAATAGGAGACCAGCCAGTGAGGACCTGCTCAGATACCCAGAGTGAGATGAACTACAATATCCTGTATCTAACTTATACTCTCAGATACTGCCTTTAGACAACAGCGTTTAAAAGCCTGGCAGTAAGCTACATTGATCATTACATACTACAACTTCCAGCTGACAATTATAGACCAATCTTGACTCCCAAGAGTGTGTTACCTCTCTTCTTCGTTATTGGTGTGATATTTGCTCCCATTGGCGGCCTTCTGCTATGGGCTAGTTCACAAGTATGGCATATCCCCCTTCCAAAATTACTTGTTCCCCCTTGGCCAACAAGGAGCCGTTTACAGGTACAAGAGATAGTCATAGACTACTCCGAATGTGCCGAAAAGGCACCGACCTCCTATGCAGACCCGATATCAGATAAAGTTAAGACCTCTTTCAAGTCCTCCGGCGAACAATCCACCCCAACCTGGCAAAGGTTCAACGAAAGTGGAACTACCATATGTCGATTGATCTTCGATATACCGGATACTCTGGAGCCCCCCGTGCTCCTCTATTACCGCTTAACGAACTTCTACCAGAACCACCGGAGATACGTGAAGTCCATGGACACAGACCAGCTGAAAGGGAAGGCCGTTGACAATAGCACCATCGATGGCGGTTCCTGTGACCCTCTTAAGCTTGATCCTTCAACCGGCAAAGCATATTATCCATGCGGCCTTATCGCTAACTCTCAATTCAACGATACTATCCGCAGCCCACAGCTCCTGAGCAGTGGCGTGAGTGCCGAGACGTACAGCATGACCAATAAGGGTATTGCTTGGGACAGTGACAAGCAGCTCATCAAAAAGACCCAGTATAATAAGTGGCAGGTTGTTCCACCACCTAATTGGCGCGATCGCTACCCAAATGGATATGAAGATGGTATCCCCAACCTCCATGAAGATGAGGAATTCATGGTTTGGATGCGAACTGCGGCGTTGCCGGCTTTCAGTAAGTTATCGCGCCGAAATGACACCACGGCAATGACTGCAGGAAGTTACCAACTGGACATTGAAGACCGTGAGTTTGAAGGCATATTGAGTATTATCAAAGTTATTACTAACCGCCTGTAGGTTTCCCTGTCACCGAGTATGGGGGTACAAAGTCGATACTCATCTCTACTCGAACCGTGATGGGCGGGCAAAATCCGTTCATGGGAATCGCATATGTTGTCGTCGGTGGCCTTTGCATCGTCCTCGGAGCATTGTTTACCATTGCGCATTTGGTTCGACCTAGGTGAGGAGTCATCATCAACTTGAGTGCTTTGTTTGGGCTGAGACATATTTTATAGGAAACTTGGCGATCACACTTACTTGACCTGGAACAATGAGCATGAAAGTACGGCTGTGGCGACTGGACGAGACGGCAGGTTTGGCTCCAATGCTCCTTAGGAGAGTACTTTTGCACTAGCCCCTTTCCCACAAGGTGTCACTAGACGACGTCAGTTCTGCTCCTGCTCTGCTTGGTAGTTGGAATCAATCTAATGGGCCAGTCACTTATCAAAAGGCGTCTGTAGGTGGCGTTTCAAAGGATATGAGGTTAATGGTGTTTTTGATTTCCGCTTGTTCCCATACTCTTTACCCATTTCCTAATAAAGGAGAGATCGACCATACTTGTTTATCATGTACACTTGCTAACGGAAACCTGTCTCGGATGAAGTCTGGCCTATGTCTTCTGAGTGAATGTCTATCCCTTGCTGGGACAGTCCTGGGCATGCTGCATTCCTAGCGCGGGGGTTTGTTTGAGGCATTTTCAAATTCCGCGTAGTGGCTGGCATCCACTCCTTCAGTCTTAAACCCATTCACGCCATTATTTTGCTTGGGTGCAATGGAAAAGGCTCAAAGCAAGGAATCAATATGACCCTGCTATTCAATTTACAGACAATCCTGACAATCATCCTTATTGCCGGCCTCTCGGTCCAATGTGGTGCACTGCTCGCAAAGCGCAGTTTCTGTGGTACAGCAGCGCCTGATGAGTCTCTCAGGGCAGAGCACAGGAGGTTAAACGATGTATACTCACAGCAGGACACTTCCAAAGAGAGCAACCGAGAGGCTGTGACCTCAATTGAAATCGAGACATGGTTTCATATCGTAAGCAGCAAGGCAGCGGCAAACACGGTATCAGACGAGATGATCACCAGTCAGGTTAGTCGTACCGAAAGCCATGATTGTTGATGTATTGTCATGGCAGGAGAATCTCTGATCTGACGAACCTTTAGCTTTCATATCTTCAAGAAGCGTACCAAAGCGCAACTATAACATATCGACTGAAGGGTGTCACTCGCCATGTGAACGATTCGTGGGCTCGCAATGATGATGAGCTAGGAATGAAGAATGCTTTACGAATGGGAAACTACAGTACTCTGAATGTCTATTTCCAAACCGACCTTCAGGCTTCGTCAGATGGGGGGTCCAGAGCTAGCCCCGAGGACGCTGATTCACGGACAGATGTATCTGACCAGTCGTCCAATGTTCTCGGCTTCTGTACTTTGCCCGATCCCAGTGTGAATGCCAGCAGTCCTCGCTCTAGTTACATTAAAGATGGCTGTAATGTACTCGCGAAGACGATGCCCGGCGGTAGTCTAGCGCAATATAACCAAGGCGGCACCGCGGTTCATGAGATTGGACATTGGAATGGGCTGCTGCATACATTTGAGGGCGAATCATGCTCTCCTGATAATGAGGGTGATTATATCGATGACACACCCGAGCAATCTGAACCTACAAGCGGGTGTCCCACCGAGAAAGACTCGTGTCCGGATCTGCCTGGGCTTGATGCGATACATAATTTCATGGATTATTCGTCTGATGACTGCTATGAAAACTTTACGCCCGATCAAGCGCAGAGGATGAGAAGTATGTGGGCTGCGATGCGGGAAGGAAAATGAGTGTGATCTCACGTGTTTTTTTATGCACATATGTTATTTAGATAATTCGAAGCCATCACATGAGCCCCGTCAACCTTAATCTAATCTAATCTGCCGACTGATAAGTTGCTTGATGTGGAATCTTGTACAATTTGGGGCATTCAATGAGGACTGTGATATAGAGCAAAGCCCTGATAATAGCAAAATGCTATGGGGAAGAATGCTAGATCATCTCTTGCGCTTTTTCCCACGATCTTCATCCTCCAGGCCGCTTTCCCTGTCCTTCTTCTTCGCCTTTAATTCAAGTTCATCCCAGTCTTCACCGCTCTCCTCGTCGGCACTGAAATCATCGCTTGCCTCTGCACTGGCATCATCGTCGAACTCGCTATCATCTTCTGAACTCTCATCGGCCGCCGCAAGCTCTGATTCAGAAAGCTCAAATGCGGATTCTTCGTCCTCGTCTGATCCGCCCTCCGAATCTGACTCTGCGGCCAAGAATGACCAACCCCCATCAGCGAAGAAACCGTATGGGTCACTCACAACGGTTTTCATGATAGTTGTCCAGTTTAAGTTTAGCGGTCCCTCGGTGAATGCAATGTCAACAGAATCCAGCCAATCTTTAACCCCCTCTAGGGATTCAACAGGGATTGTATTAATATGCACAGGTGCCCTGTGAAAATCCTTCAAAACGAAGACCAGGTCAAAGTTCTTCAGCCCAAACTAAAGCCGCGTTAGCATCAGTGAGAGCGTTGAGGCAAGGTCAATAATTACCTGAACTCTCTCCAAGTGAGCAATCTCCACCTCATTCAGGGTGATCACCAGAAATGGTGGCTCTGTCAGTTGCACAAGAGCATCCGTTGTAGGTTGAATCAAAACATTTGAGCGGTTCGGAACACCCGTAAAGCCGATTTCCCTAAAGGGAATGTCAACGTCCACACCTTCGTCCTTTCCAGCATCTGCAATCTTTTCAGCGAAAGCCTTGAACTCGCGATCCAAAGCTGCTCTTCGCCGTCTCTCCTCCTGCTCAGCTTCGAACTCCTCTTCATCTCCGTAGCGGTGTTTGCGCCTACGATTGCCAGTCTCATCAAACTGCATTTCAGTAGCCTCCCTATAGAATTGCACATCTCTGGTCTTCCTCTTTCCTATCATGATAGGCGTCTTTAGATGAACATGGATTAAGACGATCAACTCATGTGCACAAGGTTGGAAAAACAAGTGCTTCACGTTGCTGAACAATACGTCCACATGTTCATTTCGAAATGGCGACATATAACGAAGACCATTTTGATGGATCTCCACTTCCCCAGGAACTCGTTTACCATCTAGGGGAGGCCGAAGATACACATCAGGCAACTTGACAGGACGACGATCTAAACAAGTCAGCTTGTGTAAAACCATAGGATTCGATAGCAATGCTTACTCCTTATTTCAACCAGTTTGTCCTGCTCTACCACATCTTCCATTTCCTTCTTTTCTTGCTCGCGCCGCAAAGCATTCTTTCGTAGTTCTGTGATGTCTTGTGCGATCTGTGCGAGTCGGTCATTGTCCTTGGACCGGAGTGTCAAGTTGCGCAAAAAATGTGCAGAAAGGTCTTCGAAAGGTTGGTCATCCTTTCGACCAACGCCTTGGCCCGGTGAAAGGAAATTGATTCGGAGGTACGCATACTCTCCTTCGTCACTTTTGCTAGCATTTTTGATCGTGTTAATATGGAAGGGCACTGGCCGACCCATGATGGGCACAATAACAGTTGAGGCCTTCTGGTCTACATAAACAGTCAAGTCCTTCACTCGCGTCGGGAGTTGATTGTCTCTCTTGTAAGACTCGAATCTCTTGAACTTTTTCTGCGTGACGCCGTTGTCGTCCCCGGTAGTACCGGCAAACCTGTCTAGACCTTCCTTGGTCTTTTTGCCAGCCAATTCCTTCTGGTGTTCACGCCGCCGTGCCTCAGCACCTTCATTGATCTGAGTGGGGCGTTCAGCACGGAGCTTAGTTCTTGTAACATTCCTGTTGGCAATGGCGCTAGATTTTGCCTCCTTCTTCTCCTTGACAGGCTTTTGGGGTTCCTCTTCGTCACCAAAATAGAAAGATACCGAGTCCATGTCCACCCCGGCATCTTTAGTGAACACCAGAGGTCCAGTTTCCCCAACACGAACAGTGTCTGTGATGACCATTGAATAAACAGTCCTATTCTTGTCCTTCATGTTCGGGTCTTCAACATCAGTCAACCCAACTGTAATAGCGAAAGTCATTCCACTCTTCAAGATCTTGTCATTCTTCCCGTTCAGCACCATATTGGCGTCTCGGAGTTCAATTCCTATGCCTGCACCGACAGCTTTCAGGAAATGTGCTTCAAGTTCCGGTTTTCTGGTTCGAATCAGGCTAACTGCCTTACTGTATAGGTCCTTAGCCGTAGTTCCATCACGAACCTCCTTTATGATGGCTTCGCGAATGTTCAGTAAGAAGGCGTAATTTGCCTCCTGGGACTTAGTCGGGTCCACCAGGTAGGTGCGAGCGATCAACGAACTGTAAGTCCTGTAGCGGATCCCAAAGCCAGCAATGATTATTCCTGGTTGCAGGTTGTTGTTGTCCGAGACCGCAGTGAGCTTGAGATCATACTTCCCCCCACTTTGTATCACAGGTCCGTATGCCCAATCGATCTGTTGAGGGTCAAATTCAGCAGGTAATTTGGCGAGCTTGTTGAAGAATTTAGCATCGTCTATCTTAGCATCTATCCTCATCGAAAGAGCTTTGTGGCTCATTTGCTTCTCTTCGTCAAGTAGGCGTGACATCTCATCAACAAAGTACTCAGACATCAGCCCACTGCATGCCCGCGATGCGTTCCGTATTGATACCTTCATGATGTTAGCCAGTCTAGTATCGTCTCAAAGACCAGTGAACATACTAATTCGTCGGTATCCTTCACTGAGAGTGCGGCAGACAGAGCAGACGAAATATCAACCTCTTCTACTTCTTTTGACAACACCGCATAAGCCTTCCTCCAATCCTCAGCAAATGGACCTGCTGTTGTGTCTCTTAATAAGACACCAACTTTTTTCTTCATGAGTCGTAATGTTAGTTTTCATTGGATAATAGAATATAAATCATCACGCCCGCTTATGGAGGCATTACTCACACCGGCATTTTTGATAACTTCGATACATTTTTCAAATGATTTCATCTTCTCCTCTGGATCTTTCGAAGTCACTAATATCTCCACCGGAATCTTGCCGCCCTTCAGGGGTTCAAGATGCTTGGCTGTGGTTTCAAAATATGTGTCAGCTAGGCAAGATACTGTTGTCAATTACATGCTGTTGGGAGAAGGTTTACCTTTCTTTGCTGTAGTTACAACATATACCACCTCTGTTGTAAAAACTAGAAGCGTAGCAGGAAACTCGTAGCCAAGCAGCCAGAACTAGGAGATATACTAGGTGAGCTAAAGAATAGAACCAGGGTTTCTGAGAGCCCTACATGCATCGCATTGTTTTTTTGAAAGCTGTTCGCCTCATCGGTCTTTCCCATTAAAATGACGATTGATGAAGCACCACCAAAAGTAGCATGGCTGGATCGTTTATCTGCCTTCCACGCGTTATAGAAGCTTGATAATCGATTGAAAAAGGTAGACTTGTCTATCACAATTTCTTCGGCCATGATGTAATGCGTTGATAGTAACAGGTCGACGGATTGCTGTGACGACTCCGGCGTCTGCAGGAAGTTCCCGGAGGAACCTTGGAAAGGTAAGAGGTGCGATAGAAGGCTGGAGAGTAAAGCTCTGCAACAAGAGAAACTCTGTATTTAGGTTCAGAGGTAGTTTGATAGAAGAAGACTCCCTATAGGGAATCCGGATTTGAGCAATGAATGGAATAATTGATGGTTTCGTTTATCGGCTCCTACTTCTTAGAAGAAACTAACATTGAGGTAGCGCCAACGCGAAACCCGAAAGACGCGTTTCACTCAAGTGTCCCTGACAAATCAGCAGTGTTTGAGTTGTTTGCTCCAAGATATACCGTACCTAGGTCAAAGCAATTATAGTCACATTGCTTTTCTTTTCAGCCTCTCCTTAGAAGCATTTACTTCTTACTTATCAATATACTCCATCACTTCCTTATCATACAAGTTCATCCGCGTCAGAGTACAATGTGCTTCAAGCCGAAACAGCTCCCATAAAGCCTCAAAGAGCCGACCGGCAATTCTTACGATCCAAGCGCTAGTTATGCTTATATTTGTATCTGGATAAGTCTGCACCTTAGATGGTTCCACACAAAGCTCAACATGGCAGCTGCTCAAACACTATATGCCTTTGACCAAAATTCAAGCTTGGAATCTGGAAATTCTCCGCGCAGGAATCCGCGGCAGAATGCAGCTACTGGAGCCTCCGCTGCTGGGGTTCGTGCACTGAGTGCTCAGCTGGTTGCATTCTACTTCAGGGCACCTATTAAGGCATTTTTTCGCACTCGGGTTGAGTATGCTTTCTAGTTTTCTCTTATCAACTCGAAGTTCTTTCCACTTTCTAATACCTCGTCTTCTTACCCAGTTATATGGTATGCCCTCAGTTACTCCTCCAGTCTAGCGGCACTGCTCTATCGAATGCTTATCGGCTGATGCTTACGGCTACCCTTGCTCTTTCGGCAGGCCTTTGCTAGGGCTGTTAATCCTCATACTACAAAAACCGGTTGGTCTTTACACACAACCACTCCTGGATTACTTGTCCATGCTGTTCGCACATACGGATGGCGCTTCATCCCCAATCAAGTTATGCCCCCTCTGTTGGCAAACGCCGGGTGGGTCTATCCAGCCTTTTCACTCAGTAGCATGGATCATCTGACTGCTCTCTATAGAATTGGAGCCGTCCTTTACACGTCATATCTTCAAGTCCTTAGTGCTTTGTACGAGCCAGTGTCTCAAGGCATAAAGCGCGTATACCCACCTGCCCCCCCTTCAAGTACATTTGCAGCTGGTTTCATAGCCGGCACGATCCAGTCCATAGTAGCTGCTCCTTTGGATGCTCTTCAGGTTCGTCTCCGAGCGAACGACTTACTCGAGGGCCCATACAGGAGTATGTGGCATTATGGTCGCCACAAACTCAACCAAATTGGGGTCCGTGGTATTTTTGCAGGCTGGGCCTTGTCCTTCACGCGCGATGCCTTTGGTTATGCAGTTTTCTTTTCTTTCTTCGAGTTCATGAAGTCGCAGGCCTACTATTCCTTCCTCACCTGGTACTACGGCTCACGGCACACTTGTTGCTTGGATGGGTCACAGCACAGCCAAAGTGATCGAGGGGTACCACTTATTAGACCTCATTATGCTCTGGAGCCATGTTTCCTAATGGCTGCAGGTGTTGTTGCATCAGTGGCTCAACAAAGCATACAGCACCCGCTAAGTGCGATACAAAACCTTCACGTCTCTCGCTTAGAATACCTTGACCATAAGGCGAGACTTCGCCCTTCAAGGCGGGAAATGCTACGCCTGTACTACTCTGCCTACCAGGAAACATACAAACGATGCAAAAGAAAGGCGTCCAGGGCAGGTGGCTGGGGTCGTTGGCTGTTTCGCGGGTTTGTAAAGGATGCTATTCGACAGGTTCCCAGCACAAGTGCAGGGTTGGTGATCTTTGAGGTGGTGCGTCGTAAATACGCTAATATGGCAGATGCTGTATATATTCGAAAAGATGGTTATGACATTATCCTAACGTGATAGCTCTATTTTACGCTCCTTTTCTGACCTTCACTGACAGTTTCACTAGCTGATGAAGGGCCTTCGAGTATTATCTCGGTAGATAAATACAATAGGCCATACCGCATGATGACTACATCCTAATGTCAAATGTTGTCTTCAAGCAATCTACTGAAGAAAAGGAGGCTTCTTGATGAGATCTTAGTACTAATAAATTACCGTGGTTGTATCAAGAAATACAAGAGTGGCAAATTGCTGACGGGTATCTACGATAATACTATTTCTGTTACAACGATTTCTGCCCAATATGTGTACAACTTGGCCATTGTGACCATCAATCAGACTTTGAGTCCCGCCTTTGAAGAAAGTTGAGGTGCTAGAAAACTCGGTAGCTCAACAAATTCATCCCTTTGTAATCCTCAGGATAGAGGATATGTAGTATTCTCGTACGGGGTAAGGCACCTACTCAGAAATACTTTAAGCCCAAGTAATGGTACTAGTAATCAACTAACGGGTGGAGTAAACTCAGGTACCCACATAAAGTACTAGATCATGACCTGCAGCCACGACCTACAGTCTCGCACACAGCTCAAGGCATTTCAAAGCGTCTTAATTAGTATCTTACAATGTGTTCTTTGAAGCATCTACTTAATAACCTCCTAAAAGATTAAAATGCCCCCAAAAATCTTCTGAAGGGCTTCTAAAGGGCACTCAAAGAGCTCCATCAAGCATTCAAAAGTGTAGGACTTGATTCGGATTCATAGCCTGAATCTACGTAGAGATCTGGTTCAGACCTGTGGTCTGAATATACGGTTTAGAGGGATACTAGCTATTTCTTCTCTCTAGAGTTCGCCCCCCCCTCCCCCCTCTTTTCTAAGGGATTGAAACAGTAAGTAAAGATAATATCATTTAATTATATTACAAGTATTGGGATGAGCTAATCAAAAAAGCTAGAGTTATAACTTTTTATATATTAATGAGAAGCTTTAGAGCAGTGAACTTCCTTATCTAAAAGTTGACTTAAGTGTTTCTCAGCGCTAGCGCGCTTCGAAAGAAATGTAACACTAATCCAGACTTACTCTGTACAAGTTAAATATACATTCTGACGGAAAATCTGACCGCTCGGCTAAAAGATACCTGCAGGCGCTTAGTAGACCGTACAGTAGACTAAGTACCAGCAAACTCAGGTAGGACTCCAGCCGACACATTCTACTCCGTAGAGAAGTCTTAGCTAATCTCTCCCCCCCAGACCCCTCTCTTCTAATATGGCTAAAATAGTAAGTAAAAATGAAATTCAATCCTATTACAGGTAATTGCAGAAAGCCAATCAGAAAACTAGTTAATAATTCCTATAAACTAATGAAAACCCTTGGAACTATGAACTTCCATAACTCAGGAGCTAACCTAGTGTTTCTCAGCGCTACAACCTCAAAATTGTGTATGGGAGTAGACTATGATTAGGATCCATTAGAGATCTGTAGGCACTAGGCACGTGAATTCGAATAGTTCATAATTTATCATGCATAGTATAAATGTGACTAGATATTCCGTACACAGTACGGAGTACTCCATAGGACACCCAGATAGGTAAGGAGTATATTTGAACGCCTCGCACGCACTACGGAGTACTTGACAGGTAACTGCACCGCCACAGGACGATGCTGACACTATCTACTCACCCTTGGTAGACAGTACTGTGGTACATATACGGAGTATCTACTCCATACTTGGTACAGAGTACACTAAGCAAGTATTCCCGTACCCACTTGCACCAGTAAGGCTGTAAGTATTTGTGGGGGTTCCGAGAACCCCATGAAAGCCCACTCAGTATGGATACTATCTATACTACTTACGTAGTCTTTGACAGGCGCCTGTTTCGTTGCACTGGGAACCCTGGATCAGTCTTGGACAGGTCTCATTACACAGTAGCCAATAGCCACCTGTCAACTAACCCTCTATCGCGTATTTCCCAGCTTGTCTGTTAACCTGACTTCCTGGCCTAGCTTGAGCCTTCCGCCTGACCCCTTTTGGTTGTCAAACCCCGGGCACCGTCATCCTACGTCGTTGATCTGCCAAGGCCTGGCTGTCTCGTGAGCCAGCCCCCGAAGCACTGCCATCACCGCTTTCTAGACTCGTCTTGCATCCCTATGAACAGTTGGTTCACCTCACTCTTGTCTCCGCTTTGGCGCGTGTATCCTCCATCCTATTGCAGCAGTTTCTCTGCATTGCTGTCCTCCTGATCCATCCCTTTGAACGGAGTCATTAGCCGTTGCCTTGCTTCTCATGTTGCTTCGATGAAAACTCGCTTTCTGAATTTGTGCGGAGCCTTACGAAAATTACCTGCACTCCTTGGCCGTTACTCCTAGCGATCTCATACTCTGATCGCGTGAAAAAATTGTAATAGAAAGTGAAAAAAAGCTAACTCGAACGAGAAAGGGGGCTGTCAATCCCAGCCCATCACAACCGTCAACATTCCTTCCACGACGTCTTCAGCCCATACTCCTTCGAACATACCTTTGCAAAGTCTACATCTTCGTTCTCAGTCTTCTTCTTCCAAGGCAGTTGAGTATATCAGTGACAGGGGCAGTCGACGCTCCTCTGTGTCATCCCCTCACTCCACTGGGCCTGAACCTTTCACCTGGACTGACAGTGGAGACCTGGCCGAACAACTTACAGATGCCGAAGATCCTCCTCGAAGCCGCCTCATAAACTCTTTAGATTGTGAGAGCTCTAATCAAGCGAAGTCGAGTGTGCGGGTAGGGAAACAAAAGCGTGTTCGCTGCCCAGACCGGCCTGGCATTGGCGAAGACGACATTGAGAAGATTGAGATACCTTGTCCTCCGCTTCGGAAAATCTCACGGGCAGAGCGCCTATTAGCCACCATAATGTCCCCGAACGGTCAGCAGAACGCGCAGATACATGGCTTGGTGGGGAAACCATTGCTGTAAGGGTTATATTCTTCGATGATTACCTACCAGCCCTACTGACAAGTGATGTAGATACTTCACGAGTGTTTTTGTGTCTCTGGGCGTGTTCCTTTTTGGATATGACCAGGGTGTTATGTCTGGAATTATAACGTCTGTTTCCCGACTGACCCCGAGGGACTCTGCTGACAAAATGTTAGAGGTTGGTATTTCAAGGATTATTTTAACCAACCCTCGCGAGCTGCAATCGGTACAGTCGTTGCAATTCTTGAAGTTGGAGCCTTCATATCGTCCTTACTCGTCGGCCGAATCGGAGACTTAATAGGGCGTCGCAAAACGATCCTATATGGCTCCATAGTTTTTTTCATAGGTGGAGCATTGCAGGCCTTTGCTACGGGGTTGCCTATGATGATGGCCGGTCGTATAGTAGCAGGCTTGGGCGTCGGAGCATTATCGACAATTGTGCCTGTCTATCAATCTGAGATATCGGTATTTACAGTCGTCCTTGCCAAATATTGCTCTTATTCCCTTGCTGACATGTTTCCACAAGCCTCCGCACAGCCGCGGAAAACTAGCATGTATCGAGTTTACGGGAAATATCTCCGGATACGCGGCCAGTGTCTGGGTGGATTATCTCTGTAGCTTTATAGATAGTAATTACTCATGGCGCATACCGTTGCTGTGCCAGTGCATCATGGGTGCTCTCCTTGGTGTGGGAAGCCTCATTATTTGCGAATCGCCAAGGTGAGTTTGTGCACGAGATGCCTAATACGTGTAACACCAATTTTGTGCTCACGCAAGATCAGATGGCTATTGGACAACGACTATGATGAAGAGGGCATGGTTGTCATCGCAAACCTCTACGGAAGTGGGGACCTGCACAACGACAAAGCCAGACAAGAGTATAGAGAGATCAAGATGAACGTTCTGCTCCAGAGACAAGAAGGTGAGCGATCGTACAGTGACATGTTCAAGCGTTACTACAAACGTGTCTTGATAGCCATGTCGGCACAAGCCTTGGCTCAGCTCAACGGTATCAACGTTATCTCATATTACGCCCCTCTTGTGTTCGAATCGGCAGGATGGGCTGGCCGTGACGCTATCCTGATGACTGGGATTAACGCGATCTCATATCTGGCCTCTACTGTTCCTCCATGGTATCTAGTGGATCGCTGGGGAAGGCGACCCATCCTACTCTCTGGCGCAGTTGCTATGATCATTTCTCTTTCGTTGATTTCATACTTCATATATATCGATGTTGTGGCCACACCGACCCTCACCGTCATTCTTGTCATGATTTACAATGCCGCGTTTGGTGCATCGTGGGGTCCCATACCATGGCTCTACCCTCCGGAAATCTTGCCCTTGAGTATTCGTGCAAAGGGTGCAAGTCTCAGTACAGCCACAAACTGGGCTTTTAATTGGCTTGTCGGAGAGGTCACACCTGTCCTTCAAGCTGCTATTAAGTGGCGACTTTACCTTGTGCATGCCTTCTTTTGTGCCTGCAGCTTTGTTCTAGGTGAGGCTTGATTTCATGATTCACATGTTTGACAATATGTCTAATGGATATCACACAGTCTACTTCCTATATCCAGAGACAAGCGGGGTCCGCTTAGAGGACATGAATCTGCTATTTGGGGATGCGACTACTGCTATGCCTACGCCAGCAACCCAGGGAGAGCGTGGCTCCCTTATGAGTGCAGGCTCGCCTGTGCCCTCACTCGACATCAGACGCCAGTATGGCCATCTAGGAGCAGATAGTGCTATTCCGGGATTGGACATTGACCCACCAAATGTAAGTTCTACTGCAAACACTAAGCCTCCCAGGCCCGGTTTCCGGGAGGATACTACTAGCCGACCCGAGGGCTTTGGTGGTTGGATATCGAAGATGATTACTCGACATCACGGACCGAGATTACCGGGACAGAACAGCCAATATAGACGTCTCGGGCAGGAGGAGAATGAGTAGGGTCGCCAGTCATGGTTTAGTCTGATGTAGCAGATATATAAATTTGTTGTTATGCCCGCATTCCCTATGCTTGATTTCCGCGACCCCCTTTCGTTTCGTTTCCTGTGTATATCATGTTGGCTGGCCGAATGATATCCCATTCGTTTCATAAATCTCTTGTTGTATCTTCATAAACCATGGTCTCCCCGGAAGTCTTTTCGAATCCTGTTTACCATTATCTCCCCTCTCTCTCTTCCCCTTCATGATCTTTCTTCCCCGGGAAATGCAAGGTATACGTATAAATCCCTCTTTGAAAAGATTCATAATCTTTTCTCTCAGCCGTCTTCTCTCGGCCGTTTCTAGGGTCCGTGAAATCTGGCGGAGCAGGGCCTGGACTTGAGTATTCCCATGTGGCATCTGAAGTTTAGTATCGCAAGGTCATAGTACATGTAAAAGGTCTAAACTACTACCCAGCCTTGAACGAGGCAAGAAATATTGACCTGTCGACCTTAGTCACAGCTGGCTTTGGAAGATAATTGTCAGGAACCCGGTAATATGACCCAACCGCTCATCCGAGGGGGCCTTGCTAGTTGGGAGCATCTACTAAGTAGTAGTCTTTTCACCATCTTGAAACCGGGTTGGGGGCGTAGGTACCTGCCATCTACAGCCTGAAAGGTCCCGGTGTTTTGCCGTCGTTTATTATCACATAATCACATGTATGGGATATATGAATGTATAACGGTACTCATTATTCAAATCAAGGACTTTGAGAGGAATGATCAATTTGCAGTATCTTCTAACTGTTTAGGTCGTGCTGAGCAGGACTTTTGAAGGCTTCTTCAGTGACAGTTAGCATAGTTCAACCATTTATTCAAGAAGAGAAGGGTATTATTCAGTCTGCTACAGCGAGAGGTAAAGGGGCGTCGCTGCTCTAGCTAGCCCATATCGGGATGATGCTTGATAAGCTGTCAAATATGGCCAAAGCCGATACGGAGTGATGGCTTCAAGAGAGTGGTCCAAGTGGGGCGGAAGCTTTCAGACCACGCGCCCGAGCTTTCCGTGTTATGTCCAGGCCAACTCTCCATTTGCGCTTCCACTCCGTATTACATTCTGAAGTTTGGGCGCTCTTGGGAGACTTGTCTGTCTGTCTTTTTCTTGCCCACCCTCATCTTCTATTTCCTCCTTTTCTTTGGCCTCCAATCTTTCAGTTCCCCAATTCATTACTTTCGAATTTATCCAATCCTACCATTTCCTTCTTTTCCGTTCCTTTGACTCCAGTGAAGTGTTATTCTCGTAAATCATCTAACTCTTCACCAATTTTCGTCTTCTGATTTAACAGCACCTTCATATACCTTACTCTCCACGCTCACAGAACCTCAGTGTACTGTACTCTAACCTAGGGATCTTGTTTCACTACCGGAAATGTTTGCCACTCACCTGTGAAGTCAATCCCAGTGAGCTGTTTTACATCCCAATCTGCTTGCTTTGGCAATCCAAGAGCACAAGCCTGCTTTTCCCCATTCCCGCACTTTTTTCAACACTTAATACCTTCCCTCCTACTTTTCAACCATGGCAGAAATGAACATGGCGTCCAGCTCAGGGGTCAATCTTACCTCTGAAGTGCGGCGTAGAACTGGCCCTCATGCAGGAAAGTCGAGCCATGTTCCTGATCATGATATGTATATTGAAAAGAAAACAAAGCCAGAGGTATGAAACCACTCTCTTTGCTAAAAGATATTGAACACAAATATGGTTTACCTGCCAGTTGATCTTATATTGATGGGAGTTTTAGCCTGCTTCATTTATTTCTGCGGTAGCCCACTGGGAGCCTATCATGGCGCCGCTGCTTTTGACAGCTTTGGCAATATTCACCCGCATGTATAATATTGGCCGTTCAAATATCGTGACATGGGATGAAGCACAGTAAGGGTACCACCGCCGCAAATGTGCAATGCTAACATGTCTGTTCCGCATTGATGTGCAGCTTTGGCAAATTTGGATCACACTATCTGAAGCGCGAATTCTATTTTGATGTACACCCGCCGCTGGGTAAGATGCTAGTTGGCTTGTCCGGGTTCCTTGCCGGTTATAATGGGTCGTTCGAGTTCAAGTCTGGTGAGCAGTACCCAGAAGATGTCAACTATACGTTCATGCGTATTTTCAATGCTGCCTTTGGGGCGGTGTGTGTCCCTCTGGCATATTACACTGCCCGGGAACTCGGTTTTCGCAAGGCTACTGTCTGGCTTATTAGCTTGATGGTGTTATTCGAGAATTCATATGCCACCATCTCACGCTTCATTCTCCTTGATTCCATGCTGCTGTGCTTTACATTTACAACTACACTGTGTTGGGCAAGATTCCATCGGCTGCAGAGTGCTAGTTTTTCGACTGAATGGTTCGCATGGCTTTTCCTCACAGGCGTTAGCATTGGCTGCGTCTGCAGTGTCAAATGGGTTGGCTTTTTTTGCACTGCGATTGTGGGAATTTATACCGTTGAAGATTTGTGGAACAAATTCGGTGATCTCAAGATGCCCGAGGTAAGCGATTCAAAAGACTGTTAAACCGTTGGCTCAATCGCAGTCTAAATGCTTGGCAGGTTGTGGTGGCGAAACATCTGCTTGCCCGTGTAGTGGGCCTAATCATCGTGCCTTGCGTTGTCTACATCTTGTCCTTCTATGTCCATTTTTGGATCCTTGAGAATAGTGGCCCTGGAGATGCGCAGATGAGCTCACTTTTTCAGGCGAACTTGAAAGGCACCGAAGTTGGAAAGGATAGTCCTCTTGAGATAGCGTTGGGGTCGAGGGTGACGCTGAAGAACATGGGATATGGTGGTGGACTTCTTCATTCGCATATCCAAACATATCCGGAAGGGTCGACACAACAACAGGTCACGTGCTATCACCATAAGGATGCCAATAATGACTGGTTCATCTATCCCAATCGTTATGAACCCGAGTTTGACCCTGAGGGACCTTTGAGGTTCATTGGCGATGGTGACATCATCCGTCTAATCCATGGGCAGACAGGCCGGAACTTGCATTCACATGCTATATCGGCCCCGGTCACTAAAAGCCAATTCGAAGTCTCTTGCTACGGTAACATTACTATCGGCGATGACAAAGATCATTGGACGGTTGAGGTTGTTGATGATGTTGCCTCTAGAGATAGGAGCAAGATCCGGACTCTCACCACTGCATTTCGCTTAAAACATCCTGCCCTGGGTTGCTACTTACGTGCAGGAAATGTAAACCTGCCACAATGGGGCTTCAAACAGATTGAGACCACATGCGTGAAGGAGAACAAACCCGGCGATGTTTACACGCATTGGAATGTCGAATCTCATTACAACGAAAAACGTAAGTTTATCCTTTCTTCAGCCATGAGATTCGCTGCGTGTGATGTCGAGCGCGTGTTGATGTTGGTGCCTAGTCCCACCTGGTGACCCAGGATCCTACAAATCTCCTTTCTGGAAGGACTTTATTCATTTAAACGTCGCCATGATGACGTCCAACAACGCTCTTGTTCCGGACCCCGATAAGCAAGACGATCTCGCTTCCAAATTCTGGCAGTGGCCTATACTCAATGTAGGTCTTCGGATGTGTTCATGGGACGATACCACAATCAAGTATTACCTTCTTGGAAACCCCGTCGTTTATTGGGGAAGTACCTTGAGCCTTGCTCTGTTTGGTCTGTTGGTGCTTTGGTATCTTGTGCGTTGGCAGCGAGGCTATAATGAACTTACTCAAGCGGACATCAGTCACATCCACTATTCCGGACTGTACCCAGTCATAGGGTGGGTGCTACACTATCTACCTTTTGCTGTTATGGCGCGAGTGACATATGTCCACCACTATTACCCAGCTCTCTACTATGCCATACTTACATTCGGGTTTTGTATTGATTGGTTCACTCAAGGGATGAACAAAAAGTTGCGATGGGCGGTGTATGCATTCCTTTACTGCCTTATCATCGGCATGTTTGTGTACTTTCGAGCTATCGTGTTTGGCATCGAAGGGAGCAGCCAGCAGTGGACTCATCTGAATTGGCTCAGTGGATGGCGAATTGCGAATTAAGTTGCTTTCGCATCAGCAACAGCACCATCACCACCACCACCGTCGTCGTCCTTCATCCTCCGCTTTTCTGATAATGGCATTTCCAGTCATCACTACACTTGCTATACAATACCATTTTTGTATGCTATTGCTGTCTTGTGAACTGCTGTAAAAGGTAGTCTGTTATTGTCCCAGGGTTGAACCATTCTTAAATTGATCGCATAGCTCTTGGGGTATGTCTCTTTGCTCTCCTATTTCCCCCTTTCCCATTTGCGCTTGGGTGCACGAGTTTTTTGAGCATGATGTTTAAATGGCTATGTGCAGTTGACATGAGATCATGGGAGCCTGTGTTGACTTCGTAGACCTTGCATATAACACTACCTCTCATGGTGACCGCGAAAGGGTCATATACATGCGCATAGGACATGATAGTGTGCCACCAGTGGAATATACGCTTAATGCATAGTATACTGCCTAGAGCAGGTTAACAGCAGCCTCCAGCCAGGCCGTTTCCTCCTTTGCGCATGGCATCGTCCAAACCCAGAGCGACTGTCTTTGGAATACCTGGGTTCGACCCGCCGGTGGCGCCATAACCCTTAACTCCGCTTCGACGATCGTAGAGATCGTACCTACCAGCTTCAATGTTGCGGTAGATCATCTCGGCTACCTCGAGAAATGCACGCTCAACATTCTCACCGGATTTTGCGCTCGTCTCAACGTAGCGGGTAACATTATTCAAGCGGCACCACTCCTCCGCTTCTTGTCTAGTGACTCGCGATCGCGTTTCGTCGCTTGCAAGATCACTTTTGTTCCCCACCAGAACAACTACGATTCCGTCTTCCGCAATTTGCCGTAGATCCTGGAGCCATTGTGTACACGATATAAACGTGGACGGTCTCGTGATATCAAAAACCAGAAGAGCACCTGAGGCACCGCGGAAATAAGAGCGGGTTATTGATTTGTACGTTTCTTGACCAGCCGTATCCCATAACGACAACTTCATTCTTTTCTGAACCTCTTGTGCCCTGCGTGGAGGACTAGGTAGTCCAGAGGCGACTTGTTCGCCAGCAGTAGCCGTGGCGGGCAGCGAAGACGAAGGTGAAACTGAAGGGGCACGATTGCGAGTAGAATTGTCGAACTCTCCTCCCGAGCCCCTCGAAGCAGGTGGGCCCACTGGAACGATCCGCGAGCCGAATTCGACGCCGATTGTAACATCGTGGGAGGAGGAAAAGCGGCCTTCGCAGAGCCGAATGGTCAACTAGAAAGTCCCGACCGTGTCAGCGTTATGGTGGCCTTTTCAAGCGTGAGTGTACCCACACTAGACTTCCCAGTCCCTGAGTCGCCGATACAGACAAGTTTAGCAATATAATCCCATGGCTGTGACATGGATACAGGAGAGTAATGTTTTGCGGTCACTTGGGAAGTAAGTGAACTGGTTCTTGGTCAATCGCTGTCCGTAGATTTAGATGTCTGTTGAAATCATGCTCCGGAGATTTCCTGGTGGAAGACGGCTCAAAAACGAAGAGTTGTTCTGGGAAAGGTTGAAGAGAGAATATGTCCTGCCCTGCGCTGATCGTATGATGAGGATGATATTGATGAGGATGGGTGAGCTCCCTGGGCTTGGTGCTCTGCACGGGCATCTCTTTTGGCCTTCAGCCTTACTAACCCATGTTGGGTATAACACAAGATCCCACCTACTTAAGTAATATAATTACAGCCAGTGGCCGGCACGTATTACCATGACTACTAGTAGTGTCCCACGGGCTGCACGAGTACCACAGCTCTGGTGGAGCCAATTACTAGTAGTCATTATGTAATCTTATGTTTTCTGTACGAAAATAGTGTGAACTAGGCAGATAGGCAGTTATCAGAGCGAAGCATGAGCGGGCGCTATCGACCGACTACACCTCCAACGTGAAGATCCGGGACTAGAGCTGGGAGTGTTTCCGAGTGCATTCGCCCTGTGCATCCTGCATTCGTCAACGAACCAGTTGATGAGCAGATTAACTAGACGGATGGGGTGGATGCTGAGTCATCTATCACCATGACCTTGCCTTATGACGCTCGCAACTCACCTACAGATATCAAGCAAGCCTAGTACCACTCGGTTGCTCACACTCTTCCTGCCTGTCTGGGCCCTCTCCCTTGATCTGTCGACCCATTTCTTATTCCCTGATGGAAAGTCCTACCCTATCTAGCTTTTCTGCTATGTAGCCCTGGGATCTCCACAGAAATTCACCTGCATCGGGCTTATACAATACACCGAGAAGGCTCACCGCTCCACCTGCAATAACCCGGGAGAGGTACTTGTCGGGCTCAGCATCTCGTTGCTTGAGGCTTAAGGGTTAAGAGGGAAGCAGGAGCAGGAAAGAAGAAGGACCAAGAAGATTCGAAAGGGAACAAAGTCCGAGGATGTTTTCCGAATGTAGGTTTTCCCTTGAGACTGGGTTTGTCATGTCATCATTGTTCACTATTCATTCAGATGCCTCCCGCTTCCTCGCACAGTCCCAGTCACGGGTCGTGACTCACCCAGAGGATACTCGCAGAAAAGGACAAGAGCGTCTTTTGCAACACTCGCGGAATCCTCCGTTATCCTCCTCGCGCTCATTTTTCCACAGAAATTCGACCGACCCCTACCAACCGGCCAGTTCCCGAATATCCAACTTTCCTTTCAGCTCACGGACTCTGGCCCAGCCTGCACCTCTTTTCTTTAGTGCCACCGACGAGTTTCGAGAGGAGGATGATGAAGTTGAGCACGAGCGGGAAATCTCAGACTTCTATGCCTTGCAGAAATCGCGGCGCCATTTTGGGAGTAGCTATTTGAGGGAATCTTCCGAGATCGACGACGATAACGACTCTGCAAGTGTGGACGAACCAAAGCTTTCAGATCGTGAATATACTGGGGGAAAAGGGATTTGGAGCTCCTGGCGCAATGCCAAACCAAACGACAGAACCCAGGAGTCGCGTGCTGACCACAGAGATGAGGTGTGCCAACCAGGAGGCGCAATTCGACCTGAGCAAAGCAACAGTAGGCTGAGGGGAAACTTGGTTGACATTCGTTTGGAAGATACACTCACATCCGACGTCGATGCCGATAGGGCTGACTCTCCTGGATTTGGCGATGACAACCCACCCTCTGTTCAACGGTTTCGGGAGCAGCCACAATCACGAGTGGGCAACCTCGGAATAGACTCATTACTCATGCCAATAGAATCAGACAACGCAAAAGTGCCGGAAAGATCTCAGCCATCGGACCTACCGGGCTCATATGAAAGGTCAACTGCACCTGTAAGCTCGGGCTCGCTTACCCATGACGCCTTCTGGGGACAGTTGTTCTTGATATCCGTCGCGTGTCTTTTTGCTACTTCATTTCTTGTCTACCTCAACACTTCTCCTCCTTCTGGTGACAGGTCGAAATGGGGCGACACGGTTTACCTGACCATACACAGCTCCTTCTACTTGCTCGGTATTTATACCGTGGTCTCAATATCCATATCTTTGCTCTGGCTCGCGCTATTACGTTCTTACGTTCGTCCGTTGGTTTATGCAGTCATATTTGCTGTCCCTGTAATCATGTATTCATTCTCCCTCTATCCTTTCATCTCGAGTTTTGGTGGTGCCTGGCATGGATCGAGTGTCCAGGACAAAGTCATGAGATGTGGGTCAATTGTTCCATTTGTCATGGCTAGTGCGTGGATTTACAATGTCATCCGGGGACGCCGCGCCATAGGAAGGGCAGTCGATATACTCGAGTTTGCATGCCGCATCCTCGCTGCAAACCCAGAGCTTCTAGCTTTGGGCCTTGGCGCCCTCGTGCTGATTGTTTTATGGACCTGGCTGTGGCTGCTTATGTTCACGCGAGTGTTCCTGGGGGGGCATGTCTCTCGATCAAGCCTCTTTATCGTCGATTCAAGCAGTTGGTGGTTAGGAGTTTATTATGTCTTCGTCTATGCATGGTCTTTGGGAGTCATTGCTGGTATTCGACGTACGGTCACAGCTGCGGCAGTGAGTCAGTGGTATTTCCATCGCTTTACGACACCGGCTCCGACATCCAGGCAAATAATTCAGGCTGCAACTTTGCATTCTGTTACAACACTGTTCGGCACTATTTGTCTGTCGAGCCTTTTAGCCCTGTTGATCCGGGTCCCTCTTTTGTTGCTTCCCAGTCGCATTGCCTCACTCCTGAGCTTCTGCGCCTATTCCCTCGTCCCAGCTCCTATAACTGCGATCACAGACCCCCTTACCCTCACGTATGCCTCCATTCACTCCCAGCCACTTACGGTATCTGCTCGTGGCCTCGCGCAGATGACGAATCTTGCCCCTTCGTTAGCGACATCTTCTCTGCACCCGCGGTCGTTCTCTTGGTCTCGTGGGAGCCCTGCAACTCTTCTTTCCTTTCGGCTTTCGAAGCTCATTCTGCATGCCGCTCGTTTTATGATGTCTCTAGCGCTAGGGTTTGGTGGCTGGGTGAGCACTGCTCGAAGCTTGAGCGTGGCAGGTGCCAGCGGTTTGATCCGCGGGAGTATGTATGCCTACATGGTCGGCTTCATTGCTGGGACGATTGGCTGGAGCGTTTTGGGTGCAATCGAAGGTGTAATTGCAGATATTGTCGATGCATCGATTATCTGTTGGAGCAGTGAGGTTGGCACCTATGGTCGGGAAGCAAGGTACTGCCGAGAGGCTGGCCGGCTCTTTGGCCAAGAGCTCGCTTCGGATTCTAGGCATACACGTTTCGAAGGACCTTGAGTTATCAACTGCTTCTAAACAGGTGTGCGTGACTTCTCGGGGCAATGACCATATCTGGATTGAAGTATTCTATTTCTCTTAGTGCCTGTGCTCTTGAGTAACGATCATGTTGATGTTGAATTTGAAGGGCGTCATCTGAGCTGATGTTGATTTAGGAGTTGGTGATTATATAGGTTTCGGCTACCACCTTAGGACTGTCATTTCCCTTCAAGTTTTCCCTCTTTTCCGCGGCAGTTACTGCAACTGGATGGACGACTTACGCAAATATATTGTATGCATGGCCGTTCTTAAACCTTATATTCTATCATTTATTCATTCTTATAGTGTCAGGCAATCAATCTTCTCAACGCCGAGCCCAACTCGCTTGTTCTGTTTGCACCTAGGAATGAGAACCCATTTCGGAGCCAGTAGGATATGATTTCATCGGGACAGTAACATAGTAAATTCTCAATGTGTATACTTGCAGCCCCAAGGCATGGGTGACCCGGCTCAAGCCCCAGGCTCAATACTGGGAAACTCCAAGCTAAGCTGGGTAGCATGCATTTGATCATGATTGTTCGCCTTTGGTGTATTTCAGACATACAACCGAGGGCAGAATAAAAGAACACCTGGCCGCCTCTTAAGCATAAGCATATACAACCCTTGGTATCATGTAATAACGGCAGGTAAAAAGGGATTCCCTTGGACACCTGTTGCCATAAACGCCAACTGAAACTCATCGCAACAGAGTAGAAATTGCAAGATGAACAGAAAAGTGGAATGCATGATTTGATTCATCACATTATAGCTCCAAGTCGGCTAGTCCATCGCACACCCTCCTTCACGCACCACTCACTCAGAAATGCATGACTGAACCGAATTATCTCTAGAGGGGTATTGATCCGACCAACTGGCAAGAAGAACTCGCCAGAATAATCGCCAGCTTTTAGGCGGTGCTTCCCCAATTCCGAGAAATTCCTGGATCGCTTAGACCACGTGTTCGGGAATTCGCGAGCAAGAACGTCTTCAGAAAGACCGCGTGAGCCTTCAAGCCATAATCTCTGAGATTCCTTGTAGCATTCCGGCAGCCGGCTCTTCAGCTCAAGAAGCTCTCTTCGGTTCTTTTTATGTTCTTCCGATGCAGTGGTATCTCCATCACTTGCTGGAGTGGGCACAGGTGTGTTCTCCCCGGGCAGGGGCGTGGCAGCAAGTCGTTCAAGGTCAAGCGCGTGAATAGCATCATATGAGATAGCACCGAGGATCGAACAGAGACTATGTAGTCGCGGATAGAGAGCACTGTTCTTTCGTACCACACGCCAATATGCGAGGATGGATAGCCAAGAAGACGAGTCTGCAGCTTGGCGAGATAGCGCTTTAAATTGATCATCAGCAACAAATGCTAAAATGAAGCAAAGAATAGCCTCAATTGCTGTGGCGGCCGCGAGTTTTTCATCAACGGCAGTAACGTGATCTTTGGCTGTGTGTCGTTCCGCAGCATGTTTTAACTCACGGCCCAAATTTGCGTATTTTTGATTCTCATCCTTCCAAGCTCGACGGTCATATTGACGTGAAGCTATGTTATTTGATGGCGGAGGCGAGCTTTTTGAAGGTGTAGCTGGATTTCCGAGGCGCTTAGCGGCTGGGTAAGAAGACGGTCTCGCGTCATTGCCGCTAGATGGATCCAATCGGTTGGTAGAAGACTTCAAGTCTTTCAGCGGTGTCAACGAACTCGGTTTCAATCTGTCTTGTGGGTTTACTATTGGATTCGAAATAATAGGCAAGGGGGTTTGTGGTTTTTCTGGAGCATTCAAGTGCTCTCTTAAGGTGGATGTTGCCGAAATATGTTTCCCTTTCCAGTCCAAGCGCTGTGACTTGCTGTGATCCTGACGGTCAGATGAAGGCGCCTTCGCCGCGGCTTGCCTAGCTTTCGAGGCGTGGGTGGACTCGATATCTAGCGGATTCTTCACGGGTGAACTTGGCGGGGCCGATTTCCTCTTACCGGAAAACTTAAGGAGTGCCTCGATTCGCTTTCTGTTCGATCTTCCATATTTTAATTTCACTAGTTGCGGCCTAGCCGAAGCAGTCGGCTGAGCCGGCGGTGAACCGATTGATCGTTGTGTCGCATGTCCCGTATGGGAATGTAATTCTCCTTTTGTGGCCAGAGAGGCGTCGATAGTCGATAAGTCCGAACTTGAGGGCGGGCGTTTGTCATTTCCATGGTGGGGATGTTTGCTATGCGAGCCAGAAGTAGTCGTTAACTCCAGCTGCGGAGAGGCGTGGACGGCAGACTTGGTCTTTTGCACTTTGGATCCCGACGATACATCGACACTGGAGACGCCACCAGGTTGCGATGAACCCAAGCCCAAGAACTCCTCGCCAAATCTGGCCAATTCCTTCTCGATGTCTGGAGGAAGCGTGGGTGACAATAGCCGAGGTAGTCTTGGGCTGCTTGAAGTTGGAGGAAGGGTCGGTGAGAGAAGAGCAGGAAGTCCGTTCCCCTTCAGACGGTCGGCCTTCAAAGGGTCGGGGGATGTTCTTGGCTTCTTGGGGGGCATTGCGCCCTTTTGTTGCAACCTCAAAGGCTCGTGATTAGATTCAAATGGGCGTTTGCGCTCAATGCCTCCGGAGTTGGCCACGGCTCGTAATTGGGCTGACTGAGGCTTTTCCACTGGCCTCTGCAAGTCATTGCCAGCAAGGCTAGGTTTAGCAGCTCGCTGGTTCAAATCGGGAGAGAGAAGTACCGAGGCGCTTTGGTTAGTGATTTCATGACTGACAGGGGAAGCGGAGGCGCCGCTCTTCCTTTTATTCCTATAGTCATTTAAACTTATCTTCTTCTTTACAGAGTTGTTTGATCGCGTGCTTGCAGCACTTTGGGCCCCAGGACGCTGATCGGACATGACGTTCCCTGTCGCGTCAGACCAATCACCCACAGCCACTAGCAAGGAATCTCCTTCGTGATGCGTGAGGAATGTCATATACTGTAACTGTTGCTCCTCCGGCGTGAATGGCCCGTCATTACTCACTGCCCAGTTGTTGACAAAGCGACCCCCGAGGCGGAAAGGGACATCAGTAGGAACAGTGAGGAGGAAAGGGTAAAACGGGAGAACTTCTTCCCTGAGTCGCTTTAGTCGTTGGTCGATCGAGATTTGCTCCGAGTTATATTTCTGTTGGTTGGCGAACTTGGGTTGGTTTATTTCATCATCCGCGACGCGAGAGGGCTGGTCCCCCGACATTGCAGTCCGTTGATCAAGCGCCTATGTGATCGATGGCGGGCAAGCTCTTTCCGAGTTTGGCCACAGGGTGAATACCAGGTACTGGCTCCTTCTCTTCTGGCCTCTCTGGAGGGAGTTGGCTCCCAACACTTTCATGTGGCTCCGCTGCTTGGGGTTCAATTGCCAGGGTCGTAGAACATCCGACTTCCCGGGGAAAGGCGAAGCGACCAAGTGTGATAGTTTGGAAATGCTATTCCAGCTAGCTTCCTCACTGTTTCTGAGCCCTCCCCTTTTCCTCGATGCGTCTTTTTCAACCCTAAGTCCTCTTTTGCCTCGCTTATTTAGGTTGGCCGTCTCCAAAGCTGCGGTCTGACCCTTAGAACCAAAGATAACAAATTCCGTGAAACCATACACGCGCGTTCATGTATGACAGGATTTCCTCAAGAGTAGCCGGCCCAATATTGGCGGATGAGATATGTTATATCAAGATGGGCCTATAGTTAGGAACGCGATAAGGAACCAGCCCCAATCTGTTGCACAGACGAGCGTCGACAAACAGCCAATGTATGCCGGAGCTAGAATGGGGCGCCTGAGGCCATAAGGATAGAGGATAGGAGCCTCTGGCTCGCTAGCGTTGATGTGCGCGGGACGACAGGGAAGAGGCCAAGGAAAGGAGGGGACTGAGGGGATTCCTCTGGAAGTGGGATCGCCTTTCCGTCCGACAGTGAGTGTGAGTTGGGGAGTCGCAACTGGGGATGCTGGCCGACGGTCGAAGCGGAGACTCTTGGCAGTAATCTACTTGCTTATAGAGCCCGCGGGCCTGTGATCTTTAAATGGAAGTGGTTTGTCCCGTCCTAAGCTCTTCCTTTCTATGTTTCTCACCTATGTTCATCTCTTCATCTACTCCATCCACTCCTTTTCTTTGTCTCCTCCCGTATTGAGACAGAAACTTCGGTCGACAAAGAAATCCCATTCTTTAAGCCCGACTACACCGTAAAGTCTTTGAAAAACAATATTCGACGGAATTCATTGGCCTTGAATCACAGTTGGTGGCTCCAAGACCGGATCAAAATACACACAGCGCCCCGGTTGGCTATGGCCCGATATACAGGGGTGCCCGGCCGGCGAGTCTCAAGACCAATCGGTTGCTGCAAATTTCTTCTGCCAGAAAGCCATGAAATGCTTCAGCTGACCAACAGTTAATATCTCTTCAATTTACCTGGACGTCAACTGGAAGGTCAAAGCACGAAGATAACTGCTGAAGGGGGATTCCTTGCTACTGGGCGTGATCGATATGCTGCCACGGTCCATAGCCCATCTCAGAAGGATCTCCCCTTCGCCGGCCGCATACTTTTCTTGCTAGATATAGCCAAAACCCCTCCCCTGACCGAATGATGGGTATCAGGGATCCGTAGCTGGCGGCCATGATACCTTGGTTCTCATGGAACTGGAGTAACTTGCCATACCGTAGATAGGGGTAGAATTCAATCTGGTTAATGGATGGTGGGACTGTAGCCGTCTTCCAAGACGGCCTCCGGATGGTCCTGCATGAAGTTGAAGACTCCGATTGACCGCGCCTTTCCAGCAGCTTTCACCCTCTCCATAGAAGCCCAAGCTTCCTGAAGATCGCTGTCAGTGTTGGCAAATAAAAAAGGGCGAGTAAATCAGATACCTAGGGTACAGCACCCATCAGTCCCTAGATCACATAATCGGATTATTGAAGGATAGTTATGGTTGGGTGGGATTGCTGACAAATCATTATAGCTTGAGTTGGAGGATATCTGCGATATTTACACTCACCTTACTGGATGCAAACAGCTTTTCTTGCTCTACGCCGCTCTCTCGGATGGCAAGGCCAAGTTCAGCTTCAGTACCAGAAATTTCGGCGCCATCGAGATGGTGATACCCCAGTCGAATTGCGGCCGTGATCGAGTCCACTAAGTAAGTAGCTCTGGGTTAATCTGGGAATCTCCTTCCTTCTTATACCACGCTGTACCGCAGCCATTTCCAAGCTCCTTCCTTTATCATTGTTTTTAGAGAGAGCTGCTCATCAACGATCAAGTGCAGCAGGAATGGGTATGTACACTTGAACTTACCTGGGGAACACTCGCCCCATCGTTCCATTTGACAAATTGTATGGCTTTCATTGTTTTGGTCATATTTGCGGACGGAGTAGTTGCTGGATGGTGACGTTTCTGTTGGGACCCGGCGGTAGGACGGTAGTCTCCTTCCTCGGGCGACAGAATGGATGATGTATTTGTGTTCGCTCTCTACCTCATCATGGCGGAGCAGTCACGTTTCGAGTGTACAATCCAACCCAATATGGCATTACCAGCCGTTCACGCGAGTCGACGGTCACGGGCCTCCCGAGGCACTTCAATGTCCCTAAATTTTGGTGGAAGAGTTCTACCCTCGTTCAGTCAATTTAAATGCCAACTGGTCAGCGCGGATTTTTCTTTAAGTTTCCATCAGGTATCGTATGGTAAAGCGGAACTGAATGATGTCATGTCCCGGTTAACTACGCCTCGCGATTGACTTATGTAAGTCAATTTGTAGATTGATAATCTCATAGTGAAGTCAAACTACTCTCGACTACTCCGTACAACTTGTAGATCCCTAGTCGCCTGCTGCATTGGGACTTCCATGCGCTCCTACACGGCTCCGTTTGGCCTTCTCCGCGCCCATTTTATGTCGGTTCGCAGTCTCCTATACTCCTCACCGAACCTTCAACACCGTCGGAGCCAGATGGCCTCGCAAATATCCGCCACCGATGGACGGCTTTCGCTAGCAAGCCTCCCAAAGTCCAATATCTTTACCTCCAAGCTTCCATCTGACCCGGCTTTTGAGACCCCCGAGACGTCCCATCGAGCCCCTCGTGAGGCTCTAGGTCCACGCCTGGTGAGAGGTGCGCTCTATACCTTTGTTAGGCCCGAGCCGGCAGAGGAGAGTAAACTTTTGGGAGTCAGTCCCAAAGCGATGGAAGACCTTGGTTTAAAGTCTGGGGAAGAACTTACATCCCAATTTAAGGCGTTGGTTTCGGGGAATGACTTTTGTTGGGATGAAGAGGTCGGGGGTATATACCCATGGGCGCAATGTTACGGAGGTGAGAGGCATTGGTGACCTATGAAGCTCTCGAGCCAAGTCTGGTATCCACTAATATCTCTTAGGATGGCAATTGTATGTCACCCAGCAGTAGGTATAGCACAGTTCTCGGAGTTGACGAAACGCAGCGGCTCGTGGGCTGGGCAGCTTGGGGATGGAGTAAGCGTTTGCTTCTAGCCGTGAGCTTCATTGAATCTTAACGTCTGCCAGCGTGCAATTAGCCTTTTCGAAGCTACAAACCCGAGGACCAATATCCGCTACGAATTACAACTCAAAGGCGCTGGACGGACCCCTTATTCCCGCTTCGCCGATGGAAAAGCTGTATTGCGCTCCAGTATTAGAGAATACGTTGTATCAGAAGGTATCACATTGCCACTTTGTGAGCATATTCTGTGGGCTAACTCTAAATTAAGCTCTGTCTGCACTGGGTGTCCCAACCACTCGAGCGTTGGCTATCACTCTATTGCCCCAATCGAAGGTGTTGCGGGAACGCATTGAACCTGGTGCTATAGTAGCCCGATTTGCTGAATCGTGGCTAAGGATTGGGACATTCGATCTCCTCCGTGCACGTGGAGACCGCGCCCTGATCAGGCAGCTGGCAACATACGTTGCGGAAGACGTATTTCAGGGTTGGGAGGCTTTGCCTGCTATGGTATCATTGGATCAAAACCAGTCCTCTGATGCTGTAGACAATCCTTCGAGACAAATTCCCTGGGACCAAATTCAAGCGCACCAGGGTGTGCAGGAAAATCGATTTGCAAGGCTATACCGAGAGATTGCACGGCGCAATGCCAAAACCGTTGCTGCCTGGCAAGCATATGGATTCATGAATGGTGTGTTAAACACCGATAATACTTCCATATACGGCCTTTCGCTTGATTATGGTCCATTCGCTTTCATGGACAACTTTGATCCGGAGTATACGCCTAACCATGATGACCATCTATTGAGATATTCGTACAAAAACCAACCGACAATCATATGGTGGAATTTGGTTAGGCTTGGAGAGTCTCTGGGAGAACTCATTGGTGCTGGAGATGATGTCGACAAGGAAGGATTTATAAGAGATGGCCTGACAGAGGAGACCGCGCCTGCTGCTATACAGCGTGCCCAAGATATTATTGACCGGACAGGCAACGAGTTTAGGATTGTGTTCCTAAATGAATATAAACGCCTCATGAGCAAAAGACTAGGTTTGAAGAACCAAAAAGATTCGGACTTTCAAGATTTATTCTCGGAATTGCTTGACACGTTAGAGGCTCTGGAGCTGGATTTCAATCATTTTTTCCGGAGGCTCTCCAATGTGTCACTTGCGGACATTGAGACCGAGCAGATGAGGAAGGAGATAGCATCAATTTTCTTCCATAATGAGGGGTTCGGTGGTATCGGATACACCGAGGACTCCGCAAGGCAGCGTGTTGGAGACTGGCTTGACAAGTGGAGACATCGCATTATAGAGGACTGGAGCCCTGAACATGATTTAGAGAGACAAAAGCTCATGCAGACCACAAATCCAAAGGTAATTCATCGGTCCCTTAGCCGCTGTTTCATGACGCTAACTCTAGACATTTCGCAGTTTTTGCCACGCGGCTGGATCCTCGACGAAGTTATTGAACGCGTGGAACGCCGAGGAGATCGAGAAGTCCTTGGAAGGATAATGAACATGGCACTTAACCCGTTCAATGATGAATGGGGGCAGGACCGGGATGAAGAGGAGCGCTTTTGTGGGGATGTTCCGAAGTTTAAGAGAGCCATGATGTGCAGCTGCAGCTCCTGAAGTCTAAGCTCGAAACCTTCTACACTGCCCGCCGGTAGATCAGGTTAGATACGGATGAATCTGACATGGCCCTTACGCCGGCTGTTGGGTCGTTCTTTTTCTGGCCCACCAAAAACAAGAAAAAAGATAAAAAGAAAACCCGGGGTGGTGGGGGAGACACAGCGCGGACACCTTGGGAGTTCCCCCTTTCTTTTCGTAGATATGGCGGACAACCTCAAATAGTTTGCTGAGTGAGAAATGGGTCGAGCGAGAAATAAGTTTGACTAATTTGGAACCGTGGATTGAGATTGCTTTCATATGCTAGTTTTTGTGGACAAGTTTCTTTTCGCATTACACAAGAGTTCACACATTTGCCCATCCGCAACCTAGGCTACCACTTATCAGTCTCACGAACCGATCTTCCCAATTTTGTTTTTTGGAAGACTGGGCGTCATCCATTCGATTCCATGGTAACTGGATATCATTTTGGATATCTTGTCAGCCGGCCGGGGAAGCCAATCAGAGACAGGCTCGTAAGCCGAGTCGTGCAATAGGATCAGGAACAACGGGGAGGACAGCTTGTGGGTCATCACGAAGGGCGCGATAAAGGACAATATCCCCGTATCCTGGTCCTGCATATGATAGCGCGACAGAAGACAAACGATACAGCATGCAGTCCAACTTATTAGTTAGGGCAGGCAGCTTGGACGTGTCCAGGTTGCTTGCAGTTGTAGCACACCCGCTCACCCTTGGCCTCAGTAGGACAGTCACGGGAGACATGTCCAACCTCTCCGCCTAGAGATGCATTGTTAGTGCTCATGGGTGTGACATGGGGCTGAAAGACGCGGTAGCTTACAGTTGTAGCACTTCTGGCCATTGGTGCAGTCACGAGCCATGTGGCCGAAACCGCCGCAAGAATAGCACGTCTGCTGACGGCCACCAAATCCACCACCATAGCTGCCGCTCTGCGGGCAATTCCTAGCGATGTGGCCGACCCGGCCGCACTTGTAGCACTCCTGGCCACCGGTAGGGGCACCGGCACCGTAACCCTCGGCGGGGCTTGCCTGGCATTCACGAGAGATGTGACCCACGCCACCACAGCGGTAGCAGGACTTCTCCTTGGGCGCTACAGTGCATTCGCGGCCTAGTGGATCGGACTCTTAGTATTTCCCACGCGAAGGTAGCGGGGGGGTTAGGTAATCAACTTACTGACATGTCCCTGCCCTGCCATGTTTCATTAGTCCAGTTAGAACGGTGTAGCTGGGAATGAACGGAATGTGCGTGACTGAAACAAACAAGAGGAAGACAGCACGAGAGGTAGGGAAGAAACTCCAAGGGGAAGTGGGCATGCGTGAATAGACAAGATCAAGGGACAAGACATACCACCACAGTTGTAACTAGCAAGCTTAGTCAATAATGTTCACGTTAGAGGGAAGTTGGCAGTGTAGATTAAGCATACCAGGTAGGAGTTCCCTTCTTGGGACAGTCACGGGCCTGCAGAAATTAGAATGTTGCCAAACCATGATGTGAGGGGAGCATCAAAAAGCTGATTGGGGTTCCGCGTGGGAGAAAATGGCGACAGGGCTATGTTTACCTGGTGTGAAGCATCACCGCCTAAAACCAACGAAGATCTGTTAGCTTTCTTCTTTAATTCCAGTCTTCCTTCTGCCCAGATACTGACAGAAGGATCATTCGATTCAGGACAAATGAAGCGCCAGGTGATGATGGAGGGCTAAGGAATCCCATGTTTGACCGAAAACAGGGAAAAGCTCTATGGGGTAATCATGGCAAAAAGTCGCTATTTAAATTTTTCATTTTTTGAGAGCCTGTTCGAGCTGCAGGAAGAAAGCACACAGGGTGTATGCCAAAATCGAAGGCTCCGGGATGAACAGCAGAGAAATAGAGGGAGAGACTCACAGTTGAAGCAGCCACGACCTCCAGCTTGGAAACTCATTGTGAATAGGAATCAGATGAAACTGGTAGAAAGAAGTTGGTGAAGCCGGGTGAGGTTGAGAGGGGGTGGAAACTGGGCGATCAGAAATTTAGGTAGGGATTTCTGCTTAGTGCCGATAATAATAAGAAAATAATCAGATATGCGGACACTCGGTGCGGGGGAGCGCTTCCCGTGGTTCCTGCAGGGCTTTAACGCCGGGAAACCGCAAGTCCGCAACACACAACACCAGCTTCCCGCTTGCAGCGCCCCTTCCCTAATGTCGGCCCATTTTGGGCTTGATCCTGGATTTCAAATCCTCTTCACTGTAGCTGCTCTTATGTAGCTTTTCCGGTCGATGTTTCGTGATCCGCCTATGTGCCACATGTGGCAACAGCAGCAGCCGTGACAGACGGCTTTCGTGGGCCCCAAGTACACGAGACTGTCATACATCGAGCGGAGGGACATTGGTCACAGGCAACAGCCCTACCAGGAAAAAGAACGGTCTAACAGCATGGCTAGGATCCTCAAGAGGCAGGTATATGTGGCGCCCTCTCTCATATCTAAAGGGTTGACAACGTGGCAATCGATCAACAGATGGGTTGTGTCAAGCGACGACACGCATCTCGCATGGCCATATAGGAGGGAAATTGGAAGATAGCCGGCCTGGAATTCGGGCTGCCAGAGCTTTTAACTATGTCTCGCTACTCTTGAAACTTCCTCCCAAGGTCCTCCGGGCCGGGCACCTTGGTTGCACCTGTGATTTTCCATGGCGATCCAGAATATTACGGGCAATTCCTCGGTTCTTTCCTTTACTGCTTGTTCGTGTTGCATCGTATATGTAACAAGAGCACTAATATACGACCAATACAGCAACTGGCAGCGAATGTCCCTTTCACCGGTTTAGGCCTTATATGTGGTATCTACTCGGTATTGACTGTCTCCAATAACGAACCTTTTCTTCTCTTTTTGTTACCTCACGTGAAGTCATAACATTCGAGCATCTGTGTCCAAGCTGTCTTCTCTCGAAGCAGAAGAACTCGCTCATCGTCAAAGCCAAGACAACCGCGCATCCTAGCTAATCTGTGGGGAATATCGATCGACCGGGCTGCATTGGCTTCACCAAGGGATGCCTCTGGCACCATGCCAAGGCCATCGTGTCGCCGACCTAGTCTGTTTTCGGGGCTGATTCTGATGCTGTTCCCATCTCTTAATGCTTTTTGTCCCCCAAGCGAAGAGACCAGCGACTCAAGTTCCCATATCCTGATATCATCTCCTCTGGAACTGACCGAAACTGCCTTGCCGCGATCGCTAACCTGCACCGCTGAGACCGAGGATGTATGCCCCCAGAGACGCTGGCAGCCTTTCACGGAAAGGCTTGTTGAAGTAGAGACCACAAGATATACGGTCAAGGTATTGTCCGCATGGGAAGTCAAAAGATAAGGGTGAGAGTAGGACACTGAAGTCGGAGGCTCGTGGTGTGATATTGAAGGTCCGGATTGTGTGGTATTTTGCCTGCTTCCCGGACCTGTCCCATATGAGGCGGAGCGAAACCCCATTTTTGACCTGCTGCGAAAACCCGGTGATACCGTGGAATAGTGACAATCCGCTGTGGTAGCGAGCCGCGAACTTATTTGTTGACCATCCAAGCCGAATTGCAATTCTTGAATTCCTAGTGACCAACCACATCCAATATGGTAAAAACTGTACACTATAGATGTTATTATTTTGGGACCCGTAGCACGAATCGATAGCGATATTGGTTCCAAGATACTGTCTGCCTTCAGGGACGTTAGTAGGCGTGGGGCTAATAACCCGCCAGCGCCATCCATGTCTTGTTTTGTTTCATACAAAGATAGAACCTTATGTTCAGAGACTAAAAGAAGGAAAGGAAAGCATGAAGCCATTGTAGAGATGGCTCCATCGGCACATTCAACGCAGGAAAAGCGTACTCCCAGCCGCAAGGTAGTTGTGTCCAGAGTATAGATGTTGAAACGGCCATCTTCAAAACCAAGTGTAACATCGACGAGGCCCTGCTGTGGGCCGCTCGCCGCCGCCATTGCTGTAGGAGCAGGGAATGCTGGCGACGGCGAGTTTGCCAAAGGAATCCTCGCTAGACAATGTTCGGGTTTCTCGGCGGGCCAAGCCCTTAACCCATGATCCGAATCCGCTGTGAATACAATACCAGCACAAAAGCTTACCAGCATCTGTCGACGCGGCGATTGAGGAAATTCTATTTCAGTGACCCGGCAAACACCCCGTGACCAATTGTGTCTCAGACGATACTGTCTTTTCCAGTTTGTGGACATTCCCTCCTTTGCCAAGTGACCATGGTCCAGCCAGGTTGAAACTCTGGGCGAATATTCGATTTCAGGGTGCGAGAAAAGGGTACGCCTAGCGTTAGCCAACCGACGTGCTCGAGGTCGTACCCATCGAGAGTAGTACTGCCTTTTCCAGAGTTCCGCGTCTCCAGCTAAGGCATGGAATCGGCGTGATAGTCTATGCATGGAGAAGCAGTGAGCTGTGAAGTCGGTAGTCTGTCTGTAGTTTGACTGTGGATAACATACTGTTGACAGGCAAGCAAAGATGGAATAGGAAGAAATGACAGTATATGGATTAGAAGCTCGTCACTTAGGCTGGATATTTGATCGACATGATCTCTGGGAATCGTGCGGGGACGCTTTGGTGGATGTGGGATCAGTGGATCATCAATATAGCTCCTTTTCGACATTCTGTGACTGAATAGGCGATGCGTGGGCAAAAATACCAGTCATGGAACTCAACACGACTGGCTACACAGGCCAGTGTTGGAGCGATGGGCGCACGCTTGAAAATGAAGTTGACACTAGTAGTAGTGCATGTCAGGGCGAGGGCTTATCTGAGGGCGCTTGATACGGTATGTATGGTCAGATTGATCGTCCAGACGATACGGCACGTGCCGAGGTAATCGGCAACGAGTCTACGGCGGTTAATAGCGGCCATCCTGCAAATGCAATTTTTTGGTGTTTACTGCCGGCAGAATTAATATAAAGTCTATTGGATTGGTTAATCTCACCTAATGAAGCTGTATATATAACTTACTTAGCTTTACTATTTAAATAGCTACTAGTCCTGAATACTATGTAAAGGTGTAAGTCTTACTCAGATGTTGTTGTGATAGAACAGTTCAGATAGAGGTTTTATCTTATCAACACCGGCCTGACCGATGTCCTAGTCCTATAGTAGCCCAGTCAGTATGACCCGGGGCTTTCGGGTGACGTACTAGGATGGTTATAATAATTATAAAATCATTAATAGCGGTTCGGGATCTCCTTATCTATTATAAAATAATATTTATTAGTGTTGGACTACTAATTTTTTAAAGATTAGTCTTTTTATATAGATATAAGCTATATTGTCATTACCAGTAGAATTTTATATATTTAATAGCTAATTTTTTATCTAGTTAATAAATCTTCTATCCTGATAAGTAGATTTTATTATATTTTAATTCTTCTTTCTTAACTATCTAAGGAAAATGCTATCTTTTAAAAATCGTAAAAAAATAAAATCAGTCAGCGACTGAACTAATTTAAAACTATTATTAAATATTATTTTTACTGTTGAAGAAATCCAATAATTAGAAGATTATATTTATTAGTTAGAATAAGTTAATAATTTATAATAGAGAATAATCTATCTCTAGAGAGATTATTTTTCTAATAAAATATTATTTAAATATTCTTAATCTTCCACTGAATCTGATAAGGAAAAAAAATTAAGTTTAAAGATATTTTTTACTTTATATTAAATTTTAATCTCTAGAAATATTAGGAATAGATTACTAACTTAAAATATATATTTTAAAAAGCTTCTAAAAAATATTCTATTAAAAAATATAAGATTCTTATTGTTATTAATTACATGGACTTAGTATATAAATAGAAATAGTATTATTTTATTAATAATAAAAATCTAGAAGAGAAATAATTATTTAAAAAATTATAGTTTTAATTTAAAAACTAGATTTTTATTTTAATTTAAAATATTATTATTTTTTAATTAAATACTATAGTTTAACTTAAACAAGCTTACTAGTGATACGGTCAAGATCTAAGAGAATTTTATATTTATTTTAATATTCTAGAGTAATATTTTCCTTATTAGACTGAAAAAGAAAAAATTTTATTATACTTTATTAAACTATTATTAGATTTAAATTATTATATTTAAAAATACGTTCCGCACTTATCTGAAGAATAAAAAAAAATAGTATCTATTACTACCTATTATTATAAGTTATAGAATAATAGAGAAAAATATAAATATAATAATAATTAATCTAATAATTACAGACCACATAAATAGATTTTAATTTATTATAATAATAAACCTGTTGTGGACAATACTTTAAATTATAAAAAAAAATTTATTAAAAAAATTAATAAATAATTATAATATATTATATATAATAATATTTAATATCTTACAAACTGTTATTTTATTAAAAGTAAAAAAATTTAATCTATTAAAGTCTATCAGTTTTTATCAGAGCTAGAGAAAAAAATAAAGAAATTAAAATAGATCTTATAATTTTAATTTTTTTATTTATAGTAAAAATTATTTATTATTTTCATGTTCTTATTCGTATTTGAAATAATCTTAAAATCTTTATAGATTTAAATAATTACGCTGAAATAAATATTATTAATTATTAATTTATTAAAATTTATAAACTTTAATATACTCTAGTTATTATATTTAGAATTGAAGTAATTAATTAATTTAATATTTTTATTTATAGTATATAGAAAGTTTCTATTACTACTACTAATTTATAAAAAAGTATTTAAATTTTTAAATAATATTATATAAAAATTAATAAAGATTTTTAATTAAATAATAATTTTATTCTACTATCTATAACTACACTTTAAAATCTATATATTATCTTATTAGTATAAAATTATCTATAATAATTTAATATATTATTTATTTCTTTTCTTTCTACTACCAAATTTACTAGAGTAATTTAAAATTTAGTAAAAATATATGTTATTATTAAGCTTTCTAAAGATATCTAGCTACTTAAGGAAGAATCTTATAATTTATTATTAAATTTAAAACTATTATTAATCGAATTTTATTAGTTCTATGATATTTTTTTTATAAATTTTTTTTAATAATTATCTCCTCATGGCCCTGCAGACTATGTTATTAATCTTAAATCTAATATAAATATTTTTATATAGTCCTATATATTTTCTTTTAAAAATTAAACTTAAAGTCTTACAGGAATACATTAAGAAAAATCTAAAATTAAATTAAATATAATTCTTTAAAAGTCCTGCGGGAGCTTCTATCTTTTTTATATTAAAAAAAAATAATAGTTTACGCCTCTATAATAGAATGGTTTAAATAAAGATTTTATTTTATTAGTACCAGCCTGACCAATATCCTGGTCTTATAGTAGCCTAATCAATATAACCTAGGGCTTTCGGGTGACGTACTAGAATAGTTATAGTAATTATAAGGTTATTAGTAGTAGTTCAGGATCTTTTCATCTACTATAAAATAATATTTATTAGTATTGGATTACTAATCCTCTAAGAATTAGTTTTTTTATATAGATATAGACTATATTATTATTACTAGTAGAATTCTATATATTTAATAGCTAGTTCCTTACCTAGTTAATAGGCTTTTTATTTTAATAAGTAAATTCTATTATATTCTAATTCTTTTTTTTAATTATTTAAGGAAAATACCACCTCTTAAAAATTATAAAAAAATAAAATTAATTAATAACTAAACTAATTTAAAATTATTATTAAATACTATTTCTACTATTAAAGAAATTTAATAGTTAAAAAATTATGTTCATTAGTTAGAGTAAACTAATAATTTATAATAAAAAATAGTCCATTTCTAGAGAAATTATTTTCCTAGTAAAATATTATCTAAATATTCTCGATCTTCTACCAAATCTGATAAGGAAAAAGGAGAAATTAAATTTAAAAATATTCTTTATTTTATATTAAATTTTAATTTCTAGAAATATTAGAAATAGATTACCAACCTAGAATATATATTTTAAAAAATTTCTAAAAAATTTTTTATTAAAAAATATAAAATTTTTATTATTATTAGCTACATAGACCTAATATATAAGTAAGTAAAGATAATATTATTTTACTAATAATAAGAATCTGGAAGAGAAATAATTATTTAAAAAATTATAACTTTAATTTAAAGATTAGATTTTTATTTTAATTTAAAATATTACTACTTTTTAATTAGATACTATAATTTAATTTAAACGAGCTTACTAGTAATATAGTTAAGATCTAAGATAATTTTATACTTATTTTAATATTCTAAAGTAATATTTTCCTCGTTAGACTAAGAAAAAAAGAATTTTATTATATTTTACTAAACTACTACCGGATCTAAATTATTATATTTAAGAATATGTTCCGTACCTACCTGAAGAATAAGAGAAAATAGTATTTACTACTATTTATTACTATAAATTATAGAATAATAAAAAAAATATAAATATAATAATAATTAATTTAATAATTACAGACCACATAAACAGATTTTGATTTATCATGATAATAAACCTGTTATAGATAATATTTTAAATTATAAGAAAAATCCTATTAAAAAGACTGGTAAATAATTATAATACTTTATATATAATAATATTTAGTATTTTATAAATTATTATTTTATTAAAAGTAGAAAGATCTAATTTACTAAAGTCTATTAATTTTTATCAGAGCCAGAGAAAAAAGTAGAAGAATTAAAATAAATCTTATAATTTTAACTCTCTTATTTATAATAGAGATTATTTATTATTTTTATATTTCTATTTATATTTAAAATAGTCTTAAAATCTTTATAGACCTAAATAGTTACACTGAGATAGATATTATTAGTTATTAATTTATTAAGATTTATAAACTTTAATATACTCCAGTCACCGCACCTAAAATTAAAGTAATTAATTAACTTAGTATTTCTATTTATAGTATATAGAAAGTTTCTATTATTATTATTAATTTATAAAAAAGTACTTGAACTTTTAAATAATATTATATAAAAATTAATAAAAACTTTTAATTAAATGATAGTTCTATTTTACTATTTATAATTATATTTTAAGATTTATACATCACTTTATTAGCATAAAATTATCTATAGTAATTTAGTATACTATCTATTTCTTTTCTTTCTGCTACTAAATTCACTAAAGTAATTTAAAATTTAATAAAAATATATACTGTTGTTAAGTTTCCTGAAGATATCTAGCTATTTAAGAAAAAATTTTATAATTTATTATTAAATCTAGAATTATTACTAATCAAACTTTATTAATTCTATGATATTTTTTCTATAAATTTTTTTTAATAGTTATTTTTTATAGCCCTGCAGACCACGTTATTAATTTTAAATTTAATAAAATATCTTTATATGGTCTTATATATTCTCTTTTAGAAGCTAAACTTAAAGCCTTATAGAAATATATTAAGAAAAACCTAAAATTAGGTTGAATATAGTTTTCTAAGAGTCCTGTGGGAGCTTCTATTCTCTTTATACTAAAAAAAAATAATAATTTATATCTTTATGTAGACTACAGGAATCTTAATAAAATTTTTATTAAAAATTACTATTCTTTATCTCTTATTTTAGAGATCCTTAACAGAGTTTCAAATAGTAAATACTTTTTAAAGATTAATATTAAGA